TCAAAAAAAAAAAAAAGAGACTGCTCCTATTCTATTCACAGGAGGGACCCTGTCTTACTAAGATGAAAATGAGTGGTAAGACATACCTCCACATCCCGCTTCAGTTTCTCCAGGAAGTTCTTTTTACTCTCCTCTCCCACATGCAGCTTCTGCCCTTCATTCAGGAAGTCATTGTCTTTGAAGGTTGGTAAGTCTTTAGCCTGGGAGAGCAATAGCAGTGTTAGGCTGGGTAGGACTGATTCATTCACACCAAGGAGAATAAATTGTTCTGCTGGGAGCAATGGTTTAGAAAGGGGAAGAATCTTCAGCACACAGACACCCAACCTGCTAAATTGATAGGCTTTGAACAGACAGGGATAGCTAATGCATCCTTTATCAGACAGTAAATACTAATCAACCCATACTGATTTAGGCTGGGCTGCAAGAAGGAAATTGTCTGATATCCCAGCAGGACTATGAAGAACCTAGTGAGGCCAGAGGAAAAAGGCTGAAGACCAAGGCCTAGATAGATCTAAAACAAGGACAGGCAGGTGCTTAGTGTCTGGGAGCTGGACTAGGGGCTGCAGAAGGGGAGGGACAGGATAGCAAACAGGTATTGTTTCTCATTCCTAGTGACCCTTCCACACTTGCTGTGCACCAGCATACCTTCTCCTTGTCGCTTGCTTCTCTGGCAACAGTAGAACCCTGAAAGGATAAGAGCTATTAGAAGTCCAGCTGAGGCAGATTCAATTGAGCAAACATGTACCAGTCTTTGGTGAGAACCAGCAGGGGGGCTCAAGCAAACTGATTAGAATCCTAGAGGAACCAGGAGGCAGCAACTTGCTTATTACTCTGTGGCACAACTTACAGAGCTCTGACTATGTACAAGGTACATGTTAGATCCTCAGCAAACAAGTGCACTGGAGAGACTCAGTCCCTGCCCTTAGGGCTCCTCCCTTCTAACAGGGAGGCAGTGGTTACACAAGTCATTCATTCATTCTGGTTCATAACCACAAGTGTGTCCTTCTTGGTGTTTAGAAATGCACTTGTGCTGTCAGTGCATGGGGCCCTGGACACATGCCAGGCTGTGTGTATCAGCACTGCCTGCCCTCATGCTGCTGCCCATCCCACAGAGAAGAGCTGAAGAGCATCAATTGTTGCATAAATATGGTACAGTTAGGGCTTAAACAACTTCTTATCATTGTCACCTGGACTTTAAACAGCCTTTGGTCCATGAGAATTAGAATACCCACGCTACAGTCACCTGTCCATGCCAATACATAATCTCTGGCTTTCCTCATTATGTGGAATCTGGAGTAGTGGCCCTTCCAAGTCTTAGAAGGCAGGCACAGCACTGGCAAACACAGAGCACTTTACCTTGAGGTCATACTTGCGATGTACATTGAGTCGATGGCTGAACACATTCCTGGTAACTACCATGTAGGTTTCCACACCATCCACAGTCAGGCGGTACATGCCCAGGAACTGTGGCAAAAGGGTGTTGCCATGACATTCCACTATAAACTAGAATGCAAAGGAGGAAAAGAGGGAAGGCTAAGCAACAGGAAGGTGCTCTGAATGGATGGGGCTCTCTTCAGGTTAAAACGTTCCCTGGGATTCTAACCTCTAGATTAGTGGTCTTCCAACTGGGTTCTACAACGGAATTGGGGTTTCTCAGATTTACTACAAGCAATAGCCCCCCCGGCAGAGGGACAGGTGAGTTGAGTAGGCGGTGCAGAGTTCCTGGGAGTTCTTATTATTGCGATCCTATGTAAGATTTTGTTTGATTCTTCCTCAGGAAAGTCACTAATTCATCTTGCAGCTCCTCTGACACAAGGGCAGAGGGGTGCAGAGGCAGGGCTGGATCTGCTGTCTCAGTGAACAGAATGGTTCCACGCCCACAGCTCTCACCTGTGACACACCCCAGAGTTTCTCCTCTAACTTTCAAAAGACCTGAAGTTCCTTTCCCTACTTCTTAGGTACCCCAGAAATGAAGATCCAAAGAGGTTGAGGAAAGCACTGAGATGGTGCCACAGTGCTTTCCTCGTGGACAGGTGCCAGATTAGTGGAGAGACAGAATGGAAAAAGAATGCTGCCAAGCTGACAGGACCTCTTTGAGAAGATGAGAGGCAGACGCAAGAGTGTGAAAACTTTACAGCTGGGACTGAGTCAGCGATGTGTTTTTGTGTCTCCTTTTTTCTTTTTTAAGGGAGCCATTTCACCACATAGAATCTGGGTTGCAGGAGAGGGCCCACTGCTTGGTTATCAGGAAGCATCCTCTATTATCAGAGAGAACAAACCCTTCCCTGAGAAGCTCCACTGGCCACCAGGGTTCTCTTCTTCCAACCCATCTTCCACAGCCCAGGCTTGGGACTCACCGTACCTGGTGATATTTCTTTAAGATGTTGTGCATCTCAGCCACATCCTCACTGGACACAGTCTTGATGACAAAGCGCCGGTCGTAGGTGGTGAGGAAACGCGTGCCACACCGGCCCTGGCTGTCACTGTTGATGGGGGCGCTGCGCGTCACTGAATTCTGATAGACCGAGACAAAAGCAGGCTAGGCTTGGCAGGGGAACAAGGATTCTGACTTTCCCTCTGAATCTCATCTTATGGGCTGGATTGCTCAAAAGCCAATAGCACTGGGACTGAGGGACTCCCAAATGAGATGTTACCCACCCCTTTCTTATGGGGTGTCCATGTCCCTCCCTAAAATCTTCCTCTGGAGTGACAAGAGTTGTTCCCTTACCACCTGCACCTAATCCCAGAGTTTCCTTTCATTCTAATCCCAGAGAGCTACCCTACAAACTAAAATTCTGCCTCAGATATTAGAGGGCTTGGTCTTAATCCTGACCCTCATGTGCAATGACCTTGGGTGAGCCGTTTAACTTCTCTACCCCTAAGTCTCTTTATGTGGAACACAAGGAGGCAGACCAAGCTGATTTTCCCAGTCTCTTGGTGTGACAAAGATAAAACTTAGGATATATTGTATTCAAGAGATCTAGCATAAAGAAGCAATGGAACAGCATTGGAATCTCTTTTACCTATATTTACCCTGATGCTGGAAAACCCTTCCCAAAGCAGGAACTTGGGCCTCCTCTCTCTGCCTGATGCTTATCCCCTCACCTAAGCCTCCTGCATGGCTGGGCAGGGGTGGGAGGCAGTTCTGGGGGGCTTTTCTGGCTCTATCCTTGTGCCTCCTCAAAGTCCCACTTCCATTAGGATCAGAGAGCAGGAGAAGCCTCAAGAGGGAGGACAGGGGAAGGTCTGAGTCAACCAAGGGAATGTGTTCACCAAGCAGATGCCAGGTGAAGACCTTGGAGAGGCAAGGCTGAGGGGAGATCCCAAATGTCCCTGTTCCCAAGAAAACACATATGGAAATCTATTTGCAGAAAAGCTACCTCTCCAGCCTTTTCCTCATTTCCTAATGAGGATCCTATTCTTTTTTCTTTTTTTAAGATGGAGTCTCACTTTGTCACCCTCGATAAAGTGTCATAGCGTCATAGCTCACAGTAACCTCAAATTCTTGGGCTCAAGCAACTCTCTTGCCTCAGCCTCCAGGATAGCTGGGACAACAGGCGCCCGCCACAAACAATGCCCGGCTATTTTTTTTTAGAGACAAGGTCACACTCTGGCTCAGGCTGGTCTTGAATCCGTGAGTTTAGGCAATCCACCTGCCTCAGCCTCCTAAGTGCTAAGATTACAGGCATGAGCCACTATGCCCAGGTGCGGATCCTACTCTTAACCTTCACCTAATGCTTCCTCACAAAACCCAGGTACAGTGTTCACCACTTTTATGGCAGAAACTAAAATCTGAAGTGGTCAGGAGCTCTGGGAGTTCCTCAGCAAAGGTGCTAACTTTACATAGTACCCCTCCCCACTCCCCAACAAAACAGGATGTGGTGTCCCGCAATCCAGAATGCTGAATAGGCTATGTGACAGAGTGCCTCTTTCCCAGCCTGGCCCTTGCAGACTCACGGGCTGCAAGCCCAGTTGAGGGGTCTATCTAGTTCTGTCCCTGCTTCACGTCCAGGCAGCATCCTCTGACTCTCTAGGTCACTGGTGGTTTAAAAGGACAGAGCCCTCTCCTTGAACACCATCCTCCCTGCCCTCACTTCAGTCTTGAGCATGGGCACGTGCCTACAAGGCCATTACAGGCAGTATGCAGACACTGAGAGGATGTGGTCAGACGGCCGAGGGGAGAGGAAGGAACCACTCAGAGGGAAGAT